ATTTACAGCTTGTCAGATCCATTGATCCTTATATGCCGTCGGTTGAACCTGATCTACCATCCGTTGAACAACATGCACCGTCCGTTGGATTTGATATAGCATCCGTTGGACCTGATTTGCAACATCTACTTTGATATCAGGATAGCATCAGTAGTGCATCCCCATGAAATTGCATAACAATGTACAAGCTTTTTCGTCTGACTACAAACATTTAAAAGGAGGCCTTTTTTGAAAGTTGAAAATCCCCCTTCCCACATTCATTCTTCCTTATACTCACCAATTCTCCTCTTCCGACTTGCTTCCACATCCACCATCACAACCTCTTACACCCATCAATTCTCCTCTTACGTTTTGCTTCAGCACCCACCTCACCACCTCTCCGCTGTGGGCTCTTCAATCAGTACAGCAAAAGCACGGCCGATAGCATGACGATGAAGAGGACGATGATGACGACGCTGACGATGACGATGACTATGAAGATGACGATGAAGAGGATGATGACGACGATGATCAGAAGAAGAATGACAATGATGCGGAAGATGGTGGTCGTGGTGGTTGTGGAAAGATACTTAATGTTTATTAATGAGATGTAGTCATGCTGTCGCCCATCAAAGGATGAGCAAAATGCGTGCGTTGTGAGAACTAAGTTAAGGGATCGGATGTCTATGACACGATCATGAGCAAGTGTGGCCACGAGCAAGTGTGACCATGGGCCAGTGTGATCATGAGCATGTGTGATCAAGGCGGAATGTATGCTATAAAGTACATTGACTAAAAGTATAACGGTTGAGTAATGGTATAACGGTTGAGTAATGGTATAACGGTTGAGTAATGGTACAACGATTGTGCATCAGGTCTGTCGACCCAGTCGTTGGGTTCCTGCTATTCACCATCGTTCAAACTCCACCTCTCCAACCGTAGAAGGCTGGTCGTGCCACAATCGTTCACAGTAACGATTATGTTCCTGCGTCCCGATTTGAGTGGACCATAGATGGTGATGAGTCGGTTTTGCTGTCCGCCGCGTTGTGCGTGACGGCCTTTTGTCCTTCTTGGCACTTGACAGCTGGTCGGAAGGTGTACGAAGAGGGTCGAGATGAAGCCCAGTAGCCTAACGAATCTATGCCATATCCTCTCGATGGAGCTGATCTGTGAGATGATGACACCATCTTGACCCTGTGCATGTGCCTGCTATTCTCATGGCTCCCCTTTGCATGACTCTCATTGTTCCTCTTTGTCTGTTCTTCTGCCATATTCCATACACTTTGTTCTTCCTCATTCAATTGGTCCAATTCTTGCGTTGGAAGTGAAATGGGAACAGATCTGCAAATGTGAATGCTCTCCGTAAACTTGTATGTCTCACGTCCATCACAGGTAATTGATATTCCCCGTATTCAACATTTCAGCACTGTGAAAGCTAGTTATACCTTCACCGTCGTTTATTTTTACCCTTTTGGAGCCGTCTTCCTTAACTCACCTCCTTTGAGAGGATACGTGTGATCCATCTCTCCTGATAGATTGTCCGCACTTCCACCAATCTTCGTCTCCTTTCGTAAAATGCCACAGCAACATCGTATCTACCGCCATTGGAAGTCCATCTGACAGACATTGATTATCTATTTGGACTTTACGTCGTGACCTTATCTTGAGACTGGTCATGATGCGACGACGAGCAAAGGTTGACTATTCCCATACTCCTTTTGGGCCTTAATCAATCCCATCACGGAAGTTGTGCTGACGGAACTCGAAGTCAAGTCATCTTGAACAATGTCGAGGCTCGAAACGGTCAACTTGAGGAAAGAAGGCTTTCTATTTCCGTATCTATGTCGATTTAGCTGTAATGTGTAGGAAAGAAGAGGAGAGAATCATTTATGTAGCATCTCGCAGAAGGAGAACCCTTCACCATCTGTCGAACCTTTTGCAAGATACTTTCGTCCATCCATGGGAAAATCACTCGCCCAGATTCAGGAGCATCAAGTTCAAGGAACGGAGTCAGATGGGCAACTTTTAAGAGGGGAGTAGTGTGTGCATGGAAAAGAGAACCCTCTACCATCTGTCGAACCTTATGTAAGATACTTTCGTCCATCCATAGAAAATCACTCGCCCAGATTCGGGAACATCAAGTTCAAGGAACGGAGTCAGATGGGCGCATCAGTGAAGCGTCTATCCTGTCCGACTTGTTGGCGTAACGAGAGTAAGATGAGCCAGAACTTCTCGTTTCGCAATTTTCCAAAGACCCTCCCTCTAAACATAAACACCTAAAGGGAGAAGAGGGAAGAGTGAGAATAGGGTGATGACTGTAAAATGTGAAGAGGATGATGACGGTGGAATGAGGAGAAGATGATGACGGCGGAGTAAGAAGAGACTGTTGGTGGCCTCTTCTCATCCGCATTCAAAAGCCGACCGGATAAAACCTTTCGAGATTCATGAATGATCATCTCGTACGTCGCTCAAGATCGGATCATGACATAGCATTCAAACAAGTGGCACAACAGAAGAAATGGCATACTTGACATCAACATTTGTCTTTCCTCTGCCCTCCTTTCCATGCTTTCACTTCACACTCTTTGGCTTTACATCCGTTCAACATTACCAAAGAAGCTCGTCATCGTTGCTTGTTTTGAAG